GCAATGCTGGACATGAGTTTTCTGGCCTTAAAGTTGTAATTGTTAAATTCGCTGGTTGCCGGAAGAGTCAGCAGGTTGCCTGGATGAAGAGGACTGAGACTCTTACATGTAGTTAATATATTTATGTTTCATAATGCTGTTTTCATTACGATATCTCAAGGCGTACGACAGCATCCACCGCTACACTGCAGTCATGTTTCAAAATCAAAGACCTCGGTGAGGCGAGGAACTGCCTGGGAATCAGACTGGAGAGAAACTGGACTGACGGATCACTCATTCTCCACCAGGAAGCGTACATCGGAGATATTCTTAAGAGATTTAACATGACAGACTGCTAAACTATTTGCACTCCCATTAAAACTGCATTAAAACATTAATGTGTTTGTTTAGGAGCACTGAATGCGAACAGTCTTTAGACAACAGTAAATCTCTACTTAAGTCTGATAAAGTATCAATGTTTTACGATCCTAAGTTACCTATAGTTTTATACACTGAGGCTAGTCCCTATGGAATTGGTGCTGTTGGGGCAAAGGCTTTGAAGAGGGATACTTCAAGGTAGTAGAGAGAAAGGTTTGGGCTCTCTCCGAGGCCAAACAACAGGCGAAGAGACAGAGACCTGAAGAATAACTTCATGAAGGCAAAGTGGATAGTGTGGGATGGCATCAAGGCGTACTATAGTGACATTCTAAGGGTGTACCTATCAGACAAGGCAGTGTTCGGGTGTGCGAAACTGACTCGTGAGCAGCTTTTGCCAATACGTCGAAAAAAAATGAAGGTGTCGTAAGCCGTAAAAAAACTCATCTTCACTCAGCGTTCACATATCCAAACAGGTAAAGTGGTGAGGGACTTAGATAAGTTGTTTGATGCGGCCAATCGTCCCAGTGGTCCAAAGGACATCAAACGCTGACGCAGAAAATATGTTCGTGCTAATTGTTTCTACTTCAAAGTGTGAAAGAAGGTGGTTGAGAAATTGGATGACTTAAAATTTTGGGCATGAAACAACGACACTAACAAGATTAGGCTAAGGAGACCAGTTTCTCAAGACGGCTTCATCCACACTTTGAAAAATATTACGAACTTTTGGGACACATTGGTCCTCAGGCTATTCAACTTCGGGGACCGACAAGAAGGTACTGTATAAGTCACATGAGTATTTTTCATGCATGCCAAATTGATCCTTGTAAATAGTGTTCACCATTATTTCGGGTAGCCGTAGGCTTCGGGTAGCGAGCTGTGTGTGCCGACCAAACCGCGCGTTTTGAGCTTTTTGAAGCATACTTAGTCGTGAGTTTGTCGCCTAGAATGGACCTGAGGTCTGAGTCCAGGCGGCGGCGAATATGGGGCGGCTGGAGCAGAGGTACAGAGGCCACCAGGACCCTCTCCAGTTACTGGATGCCAGTGCCTACTTAATGGAGAACGTCCTGCGGGACTTACAGCAATGGGGTCGTCCTGCGCAAGACGTGGCTGCACAACAGCCACCGCAGCAAGACCTTCCCCCTCCACTCCCGCCAGACCGTCCGGCAGATCACCAGGTCACCAGATCACCAGATCACCAACATGGAGTTACTGCATGAGCCTGAAGGACGAGCTGCCCCACCTGCTGCAGGCGATTATCGATGCCTTGCTGACCATGCGCGGGTACGATCCGTCCGAGGTCGTCACCGAGCATACCGTACTCATGGCAGTCATACGAATTGCTTCGCCACACTCAAGGTTATGTTTCATCTTCTATTATCTTTTCCCAAAATCAATCTTTTCCATTTTATTTTCCTTGTTTCACAGATGCTGTCCGGTGCCCCCTTATTCTCGTAATGCATTATCGCTGCATCATGATCTACCGGAGACACCACAATCCTTTGACTTACTGCTTGGATTGCTACTCAGATCTCAACTTCCAGGCCGATGAAGAACCGAACCCTGAATCGGCGATAATTACAGCGGCACCGGGTTACATCTACTCGTATCTCGACTTTCTTCCAGAGTACCCACCCCCTCCGTGTTAACCTTTTGCTCATAATCATGAAAATGTACTTCTTCTTCTTCTTATCGTTCTTCATCCTTTGTCAAATAAATAAGCCATTATCAAGTAATTTGGTAATTTGTTATATGTGTGGTGAATTACGACGTGGGTCTCGTGAGCGTGAAAATGAAGTGAAGTGTGGTAAGACTGGCAATAAATCACGTGGGTGCCCACCAAAGAAGAAAGCTGTTCGTGCTATGGTGATGAGCGGCCGTGCTGTCCTGGCCGATGATTGCGGCGGTGACGTCATTCTTCGCTTGCAAGGCTTCGAACAGAGCGTCAAGGAGCAGTCGCTGCCTCTCCACAACTTCGTCCTGAAGCAGTGCGGCTGGAACGAAGAGAAATGGCGCCGTTTCGACGACGAACTCAGAGCGATGCTTGCCAGAGTGGTCGGTCTCTGCTCTGGAGGTCGAATCTCAAGCCGCTCGAGCGAGCCACTGCCCACGAGAAGGTTGACGACCTTGTGGCTTTGAGGCACCTTGATCCACGAGCGGCTGATTGCAGACAGATCACTTGCTTGCGGCCACCGAGGAGAGGACGACGTCAAGCGGCGCTGAGTGCCGGGAGGTAGCTGTACTCAGCAGAGTTAGCAAGTACCGAGTGTTCTTTGGAACCTACTCCCAGGAGTTCAGCTCTACTGCCTCGTCTACAACCTCGTCAGGTACTGCGTGAGCTGCAGTACGTCACCAAGGCCGAAAAGAATCATTCGCAGTTGCACAAAGAGATCACCACTCTGCGCCGGGAGCAACATTTCGACGATCGCACTCTCATGAAGAGGCTTCGCGCCGAACTTGCCCATGCCTGATTTTTTTGAGGCACGGCTGTGGTTTATCACTGAGACCTCGGCACACCGGTCTACCGTGGAGTATACGTGACTTTTGGATCAGGTCATCCTCTCCCACATGTCGAATGCGTGCTGCCAATGAAGTCCCGCCTCCGAAGCGTCACCCCGGCGGGTCCATCACTCGATCGAAGCTTGTCCGAGCACTTGGTGGGTCTCGTGTCGAACGAAGAGCTGACTGATGATTGCGAACGCATAGGAAACGAGGCCAACAAGGCTACGATTTATCTTCAGAGGAGGTCATGTCGCATTTTAAGCCCACTTTTACTGTTTAGGAAGCCAGGGAAAGCGCAAACACCTATTTCTGTCTCTGAATTTGTATAGGACAGACGTTTCTCGTACAATATCGAACAGTAGTTGACGATGTACAGACATCAAAATGGGCGCACAGCGGCCCGCATTTTATGAACGTTCAAGGTAGGGATTCAAAAGTTCATTACTCAGTATGAAAGGGTGCATCCAGTGGGTTCGGACGTCATGCTCTAACGGCTCGCTTCGTTCCCGGGAAATGACTTCAAATTCGACATTTCCTTGCTCGGTCAGTTACAGGGAAACATCACCATAGCCAGGCACGTGTTGTCAGACGCCGGTTGAGTAGCGAGGAAAAGTAGAAGTGATCTAAGGGGCTCTTGCATTAATTATTCTACCCTGTATATAAATTCGGAATAGAGTCTGTACTAAGTGTACCACCGCCGTCTCATTCCACACGGTCACAGTTCCTACAGTGGTGACCCCGACGTGATTCGAACGCGAAAGGAACTGTGGAGAGAACCGGTATGAAGCCTTCCCAGGTCAGCAGGATCTTGGAGACCTCGCAGAAGACGCGTGGAAGGACCTCTTGATGGCATGTGCCGCTGTGAACAGGCAGTACTGTTTCAGCGACTCCAAGAAAAGGGCGGTTTTCATGTTATCTCAGGAGCCTTTCCACGTTGCATTCAGTACTCCGAATATGCTTCAAGCAGTGAAAGAATTGGCGTCAAGACAACAAGTCCATATGGACCTCGTGGTTGCTACTGGTAAGTTGTAGTATTTATGTAATTGACATTCGATATGTGGACGGCGCTCTGCACCAACTTTGAGAGCCAGGGAATACAGCGTCACCTGATAATTTTGACACTCTGTTGCAGGAGGTATTTTACACAAGGTGCCTTGGTCGGAGGATAGGAATTATGTGTATGTGTCCTCAGGTGAGTATGCATTTGTAGACGTGTACTCAGCTGAGTGTGCATCTGTAGACGCATACTGAGAAGAATAAGAGAGAGGTTATTGCACGAGCTGAACAGTACACCCCTGCATATGCTATTGAAAGAGGAAGTACGTACATTGCATGATATGAATTAATGATTTGTTTGAAGTATAAAAGTTTTTCAATCAATATTCATCTCCTAGTATTTTACAGGAAAGAGACAGTAAACGTGAAGAAGCAGAAGTTCTCCTAGGCTGCATCAAATCGACTGAGTGCGTGAGATATCTGCAATGCATCACTCTCAAGAAGAAGAAGAACAACTCGATCTAGATGAAAACCAACCATTTGGTGGCGACAACCTTATTGATGCTGAGAATAATGATCGAAATCAGATTTTAAGGAGGAGCAGTAGAGTGAGCAAAACACCTACATACTTGCAGGACTTTACGACCAGAGTCGCAAAATCCTGCAAGTATGTAGTTCTTTAAAAGGCACTTCAGTTTGAAGAGTAATCGAGAATAGCCGCAGAAAAACTGTTTCCTATTGACTCGAATACACGCACTATATATTACGAACAATTTTGTACAATTTTGTTCCGTCATTTTAGTGCAAAATCACGTGCAAATGTGTACGAAAAGTTCGTATGCACAAAAACTGTGATGGCTCGTACAAAATTTGCACAAGAAGATTTGATGTGTAAGACGGGATTGCAAAGGGGGACAAGAAAAACATCGATGATACGACAAGATGCTGCATTCACCACGACGACTGACGTTAAGCTCATCAAATGCAGTCTCGTTATTCCGAGCAAGCGTTAATCGCTCTCTCTCTGCTTCTTTCAGCGGAGTCGGCACCAACGAAGTGGTAATCAGATAACGAGCTATCCCTGTGTAACCAACAAACCCGTTGCTCACAGTTTTGGGAAGTGTCACATAATACACAATAACATCTGAACGATGATGACTAGCGAGTTGAGAGGCCGAATCTCAGCTGTTAAAAAGCCGAGCCATCCCGCTAAACCCTACATCAGGTGGAGGTCCTGCCGAAGACAGCAGTGCTCCCCGCTCTCCCCACGTTCACAAGGTAAGCTGTGTCACCGCTTCAACACCACACTCATAACTCCTCACGGACAGCGTGTATCCGCAACACTCTTTTTCTGCAAACACAATTACGCATGGATTTAGCCTGTGACGCTGATGATTTCACCCCTAATTCGAAGGTTTTCGAGTGCGTAACATACGTACTAACAAAATCATACGCAAGGTACGGACGCAGAAATCTTTGAATGGCAGAGCGAATCATCAGCTTAATCCATCTGTAATTTCGTTTCCACAAATTTCTCGCCAAATTACTATGTAGGTTTTTCTGCGCACCATAAACATGCACTTCGTAACGCACAGTTTTCTGCATACCTGCGTACGAAATCGTGCATTGTCGCGCCCAAAGTCGTGCGTTACGAAGTGGATGTTGAATTTCGTGCATTCGCGCGCAGAAAAACCTACATGGTAATTTAGTGTGATGGCCATTTTTTATGGAACGAAGCTCCTCCATTCCACAGCCGACTATGAAGGTCCTCGTGGTCCTGGCGTGCTGCCTGGCGGCAGCCGTAGCGGGCAGGCACCCCCCGGGCAGGCATCCCCTGGCCGCCTACGCCGACCAAGGCGTGGTTCCGGACGTGATCGACGTGGCGCCGCCGGCCATCCTCAAGGCAAGCATAACGCAACACACTGGCAACTTACTTTGTCTCTGTATCTCGTAAACGACTAGAGGCAGTACAGTCAGGCAAATGGATGGCCCTATCTTGAATTAAATTCTAGGTGGGGTCACACTGCAAATCCAAGAGTGAGACAGTCTTACGCGTGGGACATTTTGTCCCACACTAACAAAAGTGAACCACGTTTGTCCCTCACTTGCTGCCCATGATTTCCTGTGGTTCAATGCCACGGGTCCCACGCTTCCAAGTGCGAGACAACCCCTGTCCCACGCTTGCAAGTAAGACAACACGTGTCTTGACAACACTTACATTGGCAGTACATTCAGTTGCGTGCCTTTACTACCCCTACTCGTTTACGAGATGCAGAAATAAAGTAAATTGTGGAAGTGTAAGGTTTACGCACACAGTGTAGGACTCAAGACCCAGAGACCAGATTCTTTGACGAAGAGTTCCTTCTCTTTTGGTCCCCCAGGTTGTGTTCGGGACACGGCCACAGCAAGTGAGCGCGTCGCTCGGCGGCGAGTTGACGCCCACCCAGGTCCAGAGCCAGCCCGCCTTCTCCTGGCCCAACCACTTCGGCCCCGGACCCCATGGACCCCACGGACCCCACGGACACCATAGACCGCACAGGAAGGACTCCCTCCACACCCTCATTTTAGTCGGTGAGTTCACCGTAAACTTTCCACGGACACCCGTCTGTCCACAGAAAGGACAGTGCGGTGGAAACGGTTCCTGGTTTTCCCAGGAGCTCCCTGGAAATCACCTCTGCCTCCACCATAGGCTACCTGGGAAAACCAGGAAACGTTTTCACGCACTAAATGTTTTTGTACAAATTTTGTACGAGGCATCACAGATTTTTGTGCGCACGAACTTTTCGTACAATTTTGTACAAAATTATGTACAATTTTGTCCGAAAATGTTGTAAAATGTGCAGTTTTTCGTACGATAATCGTACGAAAATTTCGTGGGCACTAAAAACTGCGATGTCTGGTACAAAATTGTACGTGCTTTCAACGGGTCCTCACGCTCCAGGACTGTGAGTGAACGATAGCACTGCGTTGGGTTTTATTTCTTTGCAGACACTGATGCCAACGGCAGAACCAACAACACCTTCACTCGGGAGTACGTGCACATGCTGCTGGGGAACATCCCCGGAGAGGACGTCTCCAGAGGCGAAGTTGTGTTCAACTACGTCGGCCCTGCACCCCCACAAGGCGCAGGTAAACAACTCCTCTGCATCCGGAAAACCACTCGCCTCCTTTGATTACACAGACGATTTTACGAAAACGTACACTGTGGCAAAAATGTACGGAAAATTCTGTTTAATTTTTGCCAGTATTCTCCGAAGTCCTCTTATCAATATTCTCCGTAGGATCTTATAGTAATCGCCGTAGGACCGTACAGTGTTCTCCGTAGGACTACACAGTCTTCCAGGTCCTACGGAGAAGACTGTGCGATTCTATGGAGAACACTGTACGGTCCTACGGCGATTACTATAAGATTCTACGGAGAATATTGATGAGAGGACTATGGCCAAAAAAATAAACAGAATTTTCCGTACCCTTTCGCCACTGTGTGATCGTAAGGAGTTAAATCTACGGTGTAACAAAACAAAGACTAAAAAGAACTCCATTTGATTTGCGTGTTAAAAACTATTTAACTCCGCCAGGACTCCACCGTTACGTAGTCCTTGCCTACAAGCAGCCGGGCTACAACAACTACACCTCAACACCACCAGCAAGGTATGTAAAACGGCCTCTGCCTGTCTCTCCGACACACTGAAAAACTAAACGTTGTCTAGACCGCACCACTGGTGTGGTCAAATGGGTGCCATTTTGACCGCATCAGTTGGCGTGGTCTAGACCACGTTCGGTGTGGTCTTTCCACGCAATGACCACACCAAACGCACCAAACGTGGTCTAGACCACACCAACTGATGCGGTTAAAATGGCACCACTTTTGACCACGTCAGTTGGTGCGGTCTAGACCACGTTTGGTTTTGCAGTGCACTCGGACTTCCGTTCCAGGGATTCATTAAAATACCCTACTGATTTCGGCATTGTCTTTGCAGCCGCCAGTACTTCTCCAGCCGCCGATTTGCCGCCAGCTGGGACCTCGGCGCCCCCGTGGCCGCCAACTTCTTCCAGGTCCAGAACGCCAACAACTGATCGTAACGGCCATCACCGCGGGACGCAGGGAACCGCCCCACTTTTAACGTTCCACATCCAAGTTCAAAAGACATGCAAAATAAACGAGTCGCACAGCACAAGGAATTCCTCTCTTGTACACGCTCATCCCAGGAGCGTGGAATCACATTGGAACGAATGTGACAAAATGAGTGCTCTACAAATCCAAACCTGGAGCATGCCTGCCAGGCATGCACTTACTAGTGCACACATGCCATGTACACGCTTCCTAATGCACTAGATGTACACACTCTAAATGTCTTACATTGAAATTCGACCTACGTTATTCGTATGTTACGGTGAATTCGGCGCAGGCATAATAGGAAGCAATATTCCTTCGTAATACGAATCTTTTTAGCTTTTTCATTGTAAGATACAAAGAAAAACCTTCGTAATACGAAAAAAAACCACCTTCGTATTATGCTTGCGCCATTTCCTTCGTAATATGGGAATTTCCTTCGTAAGACATTTTGGCAGGTATGCCCAGTATGCGCTAGCTAGAGCGTGCTCCTGGACTTGCTGATGAGTGCATGTACGGTAACTACCAGTATGGAAAGTTACCAAAGAATTGTGGCGTTCCGTATGGGCGCGACAGAGGCAGAGCGACGAATACGACTCTCGGATCATGTGCGACCTCGAGAAGGGAATTCGGCTTTGGCAGGCAGCGCAGAATCCAGCTGAGCGTGCTCCGGATTCGACGACGATGTACGTAACCCAGAGGCGGAAGTACAGAGAAGTAACTACCGTTGGGCCCAGGGCAGAGCGACGAATACGACTCTCGGAATCAGTGTGCTGACCACGAGAGAAGGGCGGCCGCACGCAGAACCGTGACGGACCCACGAGACGACGCCAGGCGGAGAAGGAAACACCTCCCAGCAGACCAGCCGGCACTAACCCTGACGAATCCGTGTCAACACTAATTCGTGGAATTTTTGAACAATGTCGCGCACACGTGCCTTCCGTACAAATTTGAACGCAATTCCACACGAATTTGTGCGATTCTGCGTTCAAAATAGTGCAAAAAAGTTCGCACGTTTCACAGTGTGAGAGATCACGAACAAATTTGCATACATTGCATATGGTGTGAAGTTTCCTAGCCTTCGAAAAGATGTGACTAAGAACGACGAGTGAACCAAAAAGATGCAGTCCCATGTGGACTATGCAGCGACATGCACCACCACACAGTAAAAACGCTACGAAGAATCGCTTCATAATCAGAAGAAAATGAAGGCGTTTTCAAATCTTCAAGGAAATGCTTCGTATTATGAATCTAAATCCTTCGTAGAACGAAACACTTCTTCGAAATGAGAAGCAATCTACACGCTAAATTACTATGTAGGGTTTTTCTGCGCGCCTATGCACGAAATTAACATGCACTTCGGAACGCGCAAATTTGTGCGTTACGAAGTGCATGTTTAATTTCGTGCATTGGCGCGCAGAAAAACCTACACAGTAATTTAATGTGTAACTATGCCTTCATTTTCTTTGCAGTTATGAGACAAATTATTCGTAGGCTTCTTCGTGTGCACGGCGCTCGAAGTCAACCTTTAGGAAAACCTTCAGCTCGGCTCGGCGCCCAAACAGCGCAATCAGACTTATCAGGTTATTCCACTGCTTGAAAACGAAGTGAAGAAGTACGCAACTTCTGTCCCCTCGTCTGCGAGGCGATCAGAGTTGCGGACTTCTTTACCTTTTTCCGTAACCAGTACCAGTGGACTGATTCCGAGAGTCGCTCCCGTCGCGCTCGCTTCCTCTCTCTCTCTCTCTCTCTCTCTCTCTCTCTCTCTCTCTCTCTCTCTCTGCTGTACGGAACGCGCCATGGGTGCGAGAGAGACAGAGCGGCGCAACCGACTTTCGGAATCAGTCTGCAGCAGAATGCCTATCCCGTCTCGTGTCGTCCTCTGTCTCTCTCGCACCCGCGAGAGAGACGAGGCAAAAACAGTGTCCGGGATTCCGAGGCGCAACCTGGGAAAACGGGTCATTTTCCAGGAAAGGCCTGGGAAACCCGGACACTGTATTTGCCGTGCAGAGGGCAAAGCTCCAGAACGTCAGGGCAAAGGCCCAAAACCTCAGACAACGGCGCACAGCCGGCTAGAAGACCGGTGGAGGCGGCCAGAATTCTAGACGCGTTGAGCTCCAGAGTCGCGAAACAGGACTCGAACCGAACGTGTGACCCCACCAATGGATTGCTCTTCGAACAAGGCGTCCATCGGTGGGGTCACACGCTGGGTTAGAGTCCTGTTTAGCGACGCTGCACATAAAAAGTGCACGAAGCAACGCGAAGAAAACGAAGGCATTGTAAAATGTACGTGGAAGTGCTTCGTATTATGAAGTAAATTATTTCTAATACGAAGCATTTCGTCACGAAGCAATTCTACAAAGCTTCTGTTTTCTTTTGCGCGGTAAACACGAAGCAGAAGCTTCGTAGACAAAACGCAACCGCAGTTTCGGCCGGCGGCTCCGGTCTTCTGGCTCACTGCACTTGCAAACAGACCCTTCGGCCTCCTACACACACACACACACCTACACACACACACACACACACACACACAAACCAACAGACTCACACACACTAAACAAAAGCCTCTGCTGCCTGATGCCGAGCAGTGCTACCGTGTCAAAAAAAAGTCGCCGTCTCTCTCGCACCCATGCGGAGCGCCCCACGAGTGCGAAAGAAACGGGCCGACCGAACAGCCTCCACGTCAAAACTCAGGCCAAGCCGAAACGTGCGGGAGCGCGGGGCTCGGCGGGGCCACTCATGGACACAACTCACAGTGGGCTAGAAGACCGGTGGAGGCCGCCAAAACTCGAGACACGTTTCGAGCTCCAAAGTCGCTAACCGGGACTCGAACCGAGTGCGTGACCCCACCAAAGGATTCCTCGTTCCGAGAGCAATGCATTGGTGGGGTCAAACATTCGGTCCGAGTCCCGACTACGGAGCTCAAAACGCGTCTCAAATTTGGCCGCCTCCGCCGGTCTTCTGGCCCACTGTGCAACGGCACCGACTCTCCAACGACACACGCGAGCACGTGGAGACGCCGAGCGCAGCGCGCTGCCCGCCAGTTCCACGAGATCGAAAGAACACTTTGAAAAGGGCCTGGAGCGAACTGATCCAGCCTGCCTCCACACACGCACGATGGCTGAAGAACTGCCTTCAAAACAAAGCTAGCACTGCGAGGACTGGCGGAGCAGTCGCTTTCTGTGGTCGGGCGCAACAGCCGGGCCAGCAAGGCTGGGCTGCTCTGACGGTGACGGATGGGACGACTGACCCCGGTAACCGCTGAGACTCAACTGGCTGGCGCGCGCGCGCGCGCGCGCCCGCGCGGCCGCGGACGGGGGGCTGGCTGCCTGCTGGCTGGCCGCCTGGCGGCCACCCTCCACGGAGCGGAGGCTGCGGCGGCTGGCTGCTGGCTGGCCGCTGGCCGGCGGCGGTGGCCCAGTGGCCAGGCCACCCTGCACCTGGCGGACCCCCCTCCACGGACCGATCGGCTGAGCCAAACACCGAGCAGCACCGAGCCCACGGGAGCCTTAGCCGATCCGACACGAAGCCCCTCTTCCCTCCTGCAGCGAGGGAGAGAGGGAGAGAGAGAGAGAGAGAGAGAGGCGGAGAGAGGAGGGAGAGGAAGGAGGGGAGGGAGAGAGAGACGGAGAGAGGAGGGAGAGGAAGGAGGGGAGAGAGAGAGAGACGAAGAGAGGAGGGATAGAGAGACAGACGGAGAGAGGAGGGAGAGGAAGGAGGGGAGGGAGAGAGAGAAAGACGGAGAGAAAAGGGAGAGGAAGAAGGCAGGGAGAGAGAATATTCGCGAAGATTCCGTTGCCTTTGTCCGCCGTCGACGCCCAAGGATTACCTCCCCTCCTCCCTCCCCCCTCTGACCTGGCAGGATCTGTTCTCCTCCGCGTGCGCACTTCCTGGAAGCATCGAGAAAGGAATTTTTGTGCCGGGGGTTATCGCCGCGTCAGAGTTCACTATCCGTGTTCTCGTCTCGCGCCCTGACCACCAGCATTAATGTGAACGTTTTTTGGCAGATGATTTGGAAATCAGTTAGAAACTCCAAGGTCTGGCGGGCCCCTTACCACTCCGACCACGCCCCTTACATCGGTGAAGAGTAATTCCAGAATTTACGCAACACTGCACTCCCAAACGCCTTCGAAGCATTTGCTTCATAAATACAAAGAAAATGAAGGCGTATTATTGAAATATGTTTCGTATTACGAAGGCTTTTGGGGCGTTCCACGTCAAACCATCATGGTCCAAAACGTACTTGCTCAGATCCGGCCCCCAATTTTTTATCTGGTAGTGTACCACCCAAAGACCACTCTCATAAATTTTTTTGAAAAAAAATTCAGAACTTTGGCCACAGTGATTTTTTGAAACTTCAAAAAAAAATATATAATTTTTTTTTTAGTTTTTTTAAAATTGTGTATCTAGGTGCTCAAATGGGTTGAAAACAGTAAAGGGCAACATAAAATAGTGAAAAAAAAAATTGGGACCCCCAGCCCTTACCAGAAACAAAGTTTACGATAAAAAAAAACCACGGTTTCTTGAATTCCCAAAATACGCCGTCTCACTTTTGGACCATATTGGCATCAAAGGACCCCAATGAGGTACTCTAACTGTCACTAAAAAATTAGGGACGGCAATCCATAAACACCAGAGATATTGTCAAAAAACTCTAAAAGTTATCGAAGGTTATCGAAGCTTTTCCCCCCAAAATTGTCAAAATGGGACCTATATTGGTTCCGCTGAGGCACTGTGCATTGAAATACTATTCAATTGTCTATCTTAACACCATGGAAGATGTGAGAGAGGTAAAGGTCAGCATTACAAGAGTTTTGGAATTACACAGCAATAAGTTTTTTTAATTATAATAACCAAAAGCGACAAAATGCATTGTTTGGCAGTCGCCAACTGAAGCTCATTGATTGGTGGGGACTTCATCCAGGTCATCTTCATTTTCTTCTTTTAAGTCTCCAGCAGTTGCATGGTCTAGGTGAAGATGGCTTGGATGAAGTCCCCACCAATCAATGAGCTTCAGTTGGCGACTGCCAAACAATGCATTTTGTCGCATTTGGTTATTAT